TTCTACAAGGGGATTGGCTAGACTCACTATTGAATTGAGAAAGCCAACAGTGAGAGACAGACAGATCTTCTGGCACCACAGAAGAGGCATCAAGAGAATGTAGGACACCCTTCTTGCTCCAGCTGTGCAGCAACACCTATGGTTGAACTGGAGACTTGATGTGAGATGGGACCTTGGGGTGTGGGGAGCCAATACAGGCAGGACTGAGATCTTGGGAATCACTGACCTAAAGGCACAAGGCTTGAGGCTGAGGTCCTTGTGGCCACATTCTGGGCAGTGTCTTGATTGTATTCTTTTATTAATTTAGATTATAAACTTCTGACTTCCCCAATATGTTTCTGTGTGGTCTATGAGCTACCATATCAATTCTTGGACCCAGAAAAACAGTAAGATTGGTGTTGAGATGAATGTAAAGAGGTATGGAAGCATGGGTTGGGTGGGGGCATATCTGACCTCATGGGAATTGATTTTGTGTTACTGATATTGTGGACAGGGACAATTCCCCTTTCTGAAGTTGGTCAAGACCAGATATGGTCGTCCGCATATGGCCCTTGCTCTTTTTACACAAAGTTTTTGGGTTTGCAGTCCATCTCTCTACAGACTAGACCACTAGAGCTCCTTGTACATCCCCCTTCCCTTGCTCTGTGCCGTCAAATCAGATCCAATTGGCACAGAAGGAGATTGTCCCTCCTTCTCCAGTGGAGCATCTGGTGGATTTGAACTGTACCTTTGAGTCCCTGTACTTTAACTATGAGTTTATTGTATCCCAATTATCCCAGAATAAAGTTATTTTTTTTAAGGATTTAGGAAGATACAAAACAAAATGGAAACATAGTTACCATATAAAGATATTTCCATGTTATTGATTAAATAAGATGCCCCAGTGGTATAATGTGATAATGTGTTGTGCCGTATTAATTGAAGGGTTGGTTTGAATCCGGCAAAATCTCTTTGAGAAAAAAGTGGAGGATCACTAAGACTCAGAATCAGTTCCACAGCAGTCAGTTTGGACTTTAGGGTTAATTAGGTATTTTTACCCTCATTTTAGCATACTTTAAAAATTATTATTACTGTGATAAATATTCTTATGAAATGTCACTGAATAATTACTCATTTTTATAGATTTGTCATTACTTCAGCAAAGATAAGGAGCACTGGTGGCCTGGTGATAAGAAGCTTCACTGTAATCTCAAAGGAACACGATTTGAAACCACCAGCTGCTCCCCAGGAGAAAAATGGGCAAACTCCTCCCTAGTGAATAAACTGCCTCTGAAAACCTGCTGGAGGGTCAGCTATGGGTCGGTTCCAGCTGCTGAGATAGTACCCAACAACAAGAAGGAAAGATAAAATATGAAGCAGATGAAGCATAAGTTTCCAGATTTTCACTTACAGAGTTCTTACTAAAGCCCAGTGTGTAATTTTCTTTCATTTTTAAAATGCCCTAAATTGTAGATTACTTACTCACTCGTTGCCATCAAGTCAGAATAAACTCATAGCTAGCTGACCCTCCAGTGGGTTTTCAGAGGCTGTAAATCACATTGGAAGAGATTGCCTATTTTTCTACTATAGAGCAGCTAGTGGATTCAAACTGTATGTCCTTGGGTTGGCAGCACAACCACTGAAGAAGAACCAATGCCTTTAATTATAGTGTTGGTGAAATATGTTGAAGATTCTATGGACTATCAAAAGAATAAACAAATCTGTCTTAAAGAAAGTGCGACCAGACTATTCCTTAGAGGCAAAGATAATGAAACTTCGCCTCGTAGAGGGTCAGAGAAAGAAAGGAAGACCTTCAACAAGATGGATTGATGCAGTAATTGTAACAATGGACATGACAGAGATCGTGAAGATGGGGCAGCATGGGACAGGGCTCAGGTGTGTTGTTTATAGGGTTGATATAGTTGTAGTTGACTTGACAACAAAATCAACACTCTTGGTACCAGCAGTCAGGAGATCAGGAGACAGATAGCATTGGGAAAGTCTGCAATCAGAGACCTCTCCAAAGTCCTGGAGAACAATGATGTTAGTTTAAGGACTATGTTGTACATGATTTAAGGCATGGTTTTTCCAGTCACCTGCTGTGCATCTGAGAGGCAGACAATGAATAAGGATAAAGGAAGAATCTGTGCCTTTGACTCATGGTGGTGAAGAAGAGTACTGAACATTATATGGACTGCCAAAAGAACAAACAGATATGTCTTGGGAAAAGTGCAATCAAAGTGCTCTTTGGAGACAAGGATGGCTAAGCTTCATCTCACATACTTTGGGCATGTTGTTATGAGAGGATAGTCCTTGGGGAGAGACATCATACTTGGTAAGGTGGAGGGGTCAATGAAGGAGAGGAATACTGTCAACAAGATGGACTAAATATAGTGACTTCGGCAATGGGCTCAAGTGGATCAAGAATGAAAAGGATGGTGCAGGATAGGACGAGTTCAGGTCTGTTGTTTATAGGATCATTCCAAGTGCTACTCGACTCTATGGCATCTAATAACAACTGCAACAAACACCAATAACAAATTGTTCAAGATTTGGACTCTCAACACTTTGATCCAACCTTGCTCTTAAGTGAGCTTAAGTGGTGATATGTGAATAAGTTGCAGAAAGAGTTCTATTTCAGAAAGGATATAGACACCAAAGGAAATTTAGGACTATGGTTGCCAACTTAATTTCTGAGGCAGCATATATTAAAAAAACCCACAAGTGGATGACTTTCAAGGGCAGCAGTTTCTTTTCTTACAGTTTTGGAGGCAAGGTGCCCAATCCAGAGCATCAGCTCTAGGGAAAGGTCATTCCTTGTCAGCAGCCCTTAGGTGTTTCTTGTAGGTGGTTTCCCACATGATCTTTTCATTCACTGTCATTTCCATTGATCAGAACCGATTCATAGCTGACCCTCAGCTGGTTTTCAGAGGATGTAGATCTAATAGGAGAAAATTTCCCATCTTTCTCCTGGGGAACAGCTGGTGGATCTAGTCAGCTCTTTTTTATAAGACATCACTCAGAAAGGATTCCATTTAGAACACACCATACCATAGCTCTACTTCATGACTATAAAGTTAAAAAAAAAAAGTGCCCTATTTCCCAACAGGGTCACATTTACAAGAACAGGAGTGAAGACTGCACCAATTTTTATTCAGAGTTGGAGGGAGTTGTAGCACTTGCCAAAGCTTAGATTTAGAGTAGCATTCCTTCCTAGGATGAGCTTTTGTGGGTCTCATAAGAGCAGCCGAGAAACTGCCAATATAATATTTAATACTTCCTCATTTTCTCTCTCAACAACTTCTCTATCAGGAGGGACCAGAGTATGAAGGAGAGAAATGGCCCAGTAAGCACAACTCATCTTCAACAGCTCATGTTTACTTCCTGTCTCCTCCAACAATTCAGAATTGAGCAAGAAATATAATAGAGAAGAGCTTTGCTTCAGCCATGTGGAACTTCAGTTCCAACATCTCTTGAGAAGGAGTCTTGTAATGAGCATGGAAATTGAGTATTTTAGAATATCTTGTGTTCCTTCTCTCTACCTACTCACACCATTCTTATCTCACAGTATTAAATTCAGGACCTTCTGCCTACAAGTTACCTTCACAGATTTAACCAGACCAGAGTGAAATCTCTCTCCACAGAACCCAGAGCACTTACAATATATGTAGCATTATCAAAGCCATTGGGAATTTGGCTCTTGCTCTCGTAACTGCAGTGAAACCTTTATGAACTTAAAATTTTCCATTTGTAGAATGGGAATAATTCATTGTCCACAAAGATTATGTTAATTTTATAATGAAAATGTTTCCTAATGAGTAGAAAATATACAAAATAAATAAAATAAAATAAAATTTAAAAAATAAAAAATGTTTCTAAGTGATATTAATAATTTCTACTAATGTCACAAGGTTGGGATGAAATTCAAACAAGCTAAAATATGCAAGTAGCTTAAATTAAACAACATACATAACATATAAATTGTACAAATATAAAGTCCTGGAAGAGGGGATGTTCTAAACATTTAATGACTTATAAGCACTGAACTTAACCAGTCAAAAGTCTTCATTGTCTGAATTGGAGCAGGGTGCAGAAGTCCCCTTGCTGCACTAGACATTAACCTTTGACAGATTAAAGAAAGGTCTAAGTAGTCCTAAAGAAATTAAGGAAATAAGAGGAGGATCGTGGAAAGAAATTCAGGGCTGAATTTTCACATTTGAAAAATATTTTAACAAGTAGTATGAGTTGCGGGTGCCTCGACGGCACATAACAGCAACAACCTGTCCATAACTGGGATATCAATACAATATGCTATTAGGCAAGAATGGAAAAAGCAACACTGCTCGATTCACTGTCAAAAAGCTATAGAGTCCAACATGAGCTTTTATGTTCTTGTGCAGCTTATTTTGAAAATATATGACCAATTCACAGACCATACTTCTTTATATTCTACTGGTTTTAGTAAGAATATAGTAAGAAAAACTTGCTAATAAATCCTGATTCCTGAAGCCTTCTGTTTTCACCCCTTAGAAGTCCGAGGATATAATTCATGCATGTGAAGAAGTGGGAGAATCAACACATGAAGGAAAAGACAGTCGGCAGACACTACCCCCAGGGAAGACGCTGTTGTTGTTGTTGTTGTGGACCATGGAGTTGAAATGGACCCATAGCCGACCCTCCAATGGATTTTCAGAGGCAATAAGTCACGCAGGAGGGAATTGTCCTTTTCCAATAGAGCACCTGATGAATTTGAAACATGTACCTTCACATCAGCAGCACCATTCTTTATCACTAAGCCACCAGAGCTCCCTGGCATAGATGACACTATTTCTGGCAAAGACTTTAAAACAATTCTTACAACCATGTATAAAGAAGTAAGGATGAAATTGCCTGGAATAAGTGGAATAATTGAAAATCTCATCCAAAAGGGAGAAAAAAAAGTGAAAAGAAAGATATAAAGGAGAACCAACTGGACATTTTTAAAATTTAAAAATATAGTCACTGACATAAAAATTCACTGGATGAAGCTGAGGGAAGGCAAAAAATTGGATTCAGAGCTTGGCAGGAAGTGGGACTGGTGCTTGGTGGATATGGTCATGAAAATAGGAACTGGCTTTGGATTAGGAATTATTTTCTCACTTCTTTAAAAGAAGAATGTGGTCATTAGCCTTTGTTTCTGGAATGGATGTGGTAATGGCCTACTCTAACCATCAACACGATTTCCAGTCTCCGTATCTTCTTCATGGAAAATATGTCAAAGAGCAATGAGTTGGGCCTGAGATCACCCCACTGGGCAGAAAAGAGAAATCATATTTATTCCTCAGAAATACTGAAGTGCCCTGAAGTCATCTGACATTCTTCTGGAAGAATGTTATGAGTAATGCTTTATACCCCAGCATACTTTGTTTTTAATTATTTTATACTGGTTTATTTACAAAGTTTGTATACATTGTTTTTCACACTGGATCTTTCCCATTTCCTCATGCCCCCTTCCACCATACATCAAATTGTATGACCCTATGATTAACCTCTCCCCTGCCCCTGCCCATCCTCCCAACTCTGCTCTCTCCTCGCCTCCTTGGATCCTCATACTCTTTCTACAATAATAGTTTTATACAGTATTTGTCCTTGTGGGATTGAGTTAGCTCACTCAGCATTATGCTCTCCAGTCCCTCTTATGTTAGGTAGTAATTTATAAAAGCATTCTCCTGTGTGCTGGATAGTATTCCATCATGTACAATAATTCCTCAATCCATTCAATTGTGGTTGGACATTTGGGCTGTTTCCATGCTCTTGTGATGGTGAATAATGCTACTATGAACACTGGTGTACAAGTCTCCATTTGTGCCTCATTTTTCTTGGGGTATATTCCAAGCAGTGGAATAGCTGGGTCTTATGGGATTTCTGTCTTCAGCTTTTTGAGGAAGTGCCAAACTGCCTTCCAGAGTAGTTGTACCATTTTAGAATCCCACCAGCAGAGTATAAGAATTCCTTTATCACTTCTCTAACATTTATTATTTGCTGTCCTGTTAAACTTTGCCACTGCTACTGGCGTGAGTTGGTATCTCATTGTGGTTTAGATTTGCATATCTCTTATTACCAGGGATTTTTGAGCATTTCTTCATGTGTCTGTTGGCTATTTGAATAGCTTCCTCTGTGAAAATTCTTTTCATGTCTTTTGTCCATTTTGTAATTGTGTTATCAGTTTTTTATTGTGAAAACCCTGTAGGATTCTGCAAACTTTTGATATGAGACCCTTGTCTGAAATTGTATTGACAAATGTTTTTCCCCAGTCAGTAGGTTTTCTTTTCACTCTGTTGGAAGATGGTTTTGTTGTACACAGGGATTTAATCTTTAGAAGGTCTCATTCATCAATTTTATCCTCTCCAGATTGTACATTTCTGGCTGTATTTGGCAGTTTCTTTATACCATAGACGAGGCTGTCTAAGCATGATCCCAGTTTGTCTCTGATGAAGTTTATGGTTTTAGACTTTCCTTTTAGGGCTCTGATCCACCTTGAGTTGATCTTTTTGTGTGGTGTGAGATGTAGATCCTGTTTCAGCTTTCTGCAGGTAGCAGTCCAGCTTTGCCAGCACCATTTGTTGAAGAGGTTGTCATTTCCCCATTTGAAAGACTTTATTTCCTTATTGAATCAGTTGACCATTGATATATAGGTTCTTTTCTGTGTTCTCAATTCTGTTCCATTGGTCTACGTGCCAGTCATTGTACTAGAACTATTCTGTTTTGATTACTACACCTATGTATTAGGTGTTGAGGTCAGGGAGTGTGATGCTTCCCACTGCACTTTGGTTTATCAGAAGCCCATCATACTTTTTATGTATTTAAAATAAAATCTGCTTCTTGTTTTGAATATTCTCTCTGGAAATTCCAAGAAGGTGGTCTTAATCTTAAATGACATAAATTAAACAAAATGAGTGGGGGAAATTCAGTGGAAGATGATAGAGAAAAAAGTTCATGAACTTGAAGAAAGATCAATAGAAACCATTTGATCTTAATAACAGATGAAAAAACAAAACAAATGGAGCCATGAAGACCCATAGGATAATATCTAAAGGTCTAATTCAAATAATCCAAAGTAAATCATGAAAAGAGAGATAAAAGAATAAAAACATAAGGGAGCTCTGGTGGCTTAGTGGCAAGACACTGCACTGCAATCCCAGAGGTACGCGGTTCAAATCCACCAGATGCTCTGCTGGGGAAGGAGGGCCAATCTCCTCCTGTACCAGTCAGATCTGATTTGACAGTACACGTAAAAATAATACAATAAAAAAAGAATAAAAACATAAAACAAATAATGAAATGTCAGATAGATGTCCAAATATACCAAAAGTTACATTAGGTATTAAAGGTATTAAATGATAGATAAACAACAATGAAAATCCAAAGATTGTAAGATTTTTTTTAAAAAAGAATCAATTTTAAATATAAGATCATCAGTTAATTAGAAATAAAGAAGATACAACAAACAACTATCAAGTAAAAGAAGGCTGGAATGGATATATATAAATTTCAGACAAAGTAGATTTTAAAGTAAATAACATAACTCACGAGAATAAAAGGGGATGATTTAATAATAAATGTGTAAATTCATCAAGAACATAAAACAATCTGAAATATGTGTGTGTCTAATGACTAAACTTCAAGGTATTAGAAGTAAAAATAGAAAAATTGCTAATTATAATTAGAGATTTCAATACTCCTTTCTCAGTAATAAATGTAGATTTAAAAAATTTGGGATAGAGATTGAATTGCTGAACAATACTATCAACAAACTGGATCTAATTGTCACTTATAAAATATTTTACCCAACAACAGCAAAATACACATTTTTCCCCCCGATGCACATGGAGCATTCTTCAAGAGGACTACATTCTGGATCATAAGACAGACCTCAGTACACTGGAAAGAATTGCTACCATCTCCAGTGTGCGCCTCTTACATACCTCTGGTCCTTCTGAGGTGCTGCTCATCTGATGCATGGTGACCTATGCTGCAGATTGGTCTCACACACACACACACACACACACACACAAAGAGACAGACAGACAGACACACTGCTGAAACCAATGAATGCCATGTGTGTGGGACACTAATTCTCGGGATGGAGTAGTTTTGGAGGTTTCCAAGGCTTTGCTCCTGATTGTTGCCAAAAGCAAAGCCTCATATGGCCTTCAATTTCCTCTAATCAGTTTCCTCCTTTATTTCCTTAGAATAATCAATCTTTCATGGCAGGTCTGATTGTTTTTATAGTGTTCTAATCTGTATCTTTGCATGTTGAGGGAAGTAAATTTCTAAATACTAATACTACTAATAATAAATATTTTACTAAATAAAGTCTGTTACCATAAGGTTAGAAATCAATAAGTAGTAAATCTCTAAACCCTTGCTAATTAAACAATTCAATCCAAATAAACCGGGGTCAAAGAGAAGGTCAGAAAGGATAATAGGAAATGAAAATACGGCATATCAACATCTGTGGAAAATCAGCTAAAGTCACACCAGCGCTATGGACAACAGATCTGAACCCTGTCCAATCCTGTGCCATCTTCACAATGACTGACACGCTCAAGACCATTGCCTCAGTCACTGTGTCAATCCATCGCGTTAAGTGTCTTCCTCTCCTTTGCTATCCCTTCATCTTTCCAAGCATGATGTCCTTCTCTAAGGAATAGCCTCTCCTTGCAACATGCTCAAAGCATGTGAAATGAAGCTCTATATATCTTTGCCTCCAAAGAGTACTCTGGCTACACCTTTTCCAAGACATAGCTGTTTGTTCTTTTGGAAGTTTATGTTTAGTGCTCCTCTCCAATATCACAGTTCAAAGACATCAATTTGTTTTATGTCATCTTTGGTCATTTTCCAGCTCTTAGATGCATAAGTAACTGAAAAGACTATAGGTTAAACCAGGTACACCTTAGTCTTCAGATTGGCATCATTGCTCCTCAGTAATTTGAAGAGATTTTAAAAGGCTTATATTATTATATTAGAAGAGACAAAAGGCCTAAAGTCAACAAACTAAGCTCTCCCCATGAAAAATCTAAAAGGGAAAAAAGGGTAAAGTAAAACAACTATAAGCAGAAGAAAATAATAGAGCTGAAGTCAATGAAATTGAAAACAGAAGAATTGATAGATCTATACCTCACACTATGCACAAAAGTAACTTAAAATGGATCAAAATGCTAAATTTAAAACTATAACTTTCATGTGGAATAAAATCTAGTAGTAAATCTAAGGACATTAATCTATGGCATAAACAGAATATCAAACATAAATAAAGATGGACAAACAGCAGAAGATAAACTATAAACTAGTTAATGTTGTTTTTGTTAAGTGCCTTCAAGCTGTAGACAATTCAACTCATAGCGACCCTATGAAGGAAAGACCTGAGCACTGTTTTTTGTTTTGGTTTTTTCTTTTTTTTGCTACTATCTTTTTTTTTTTTAATTTAATTTTATTATTTTGTGTGTGTGTACTGTCAAATCAGATCGGACTGGTACAGGAGGAGATTGCCCCTCCTTCTCCAGCAGAGTATCTGGTGGATTCGAACCACATACTTCCTGAGCACTGTTCATAGACTTTCCAGGGGCAAGCCATTTCAGAAGTGGATGCCACTCCTGCTTCCAAGCTCGTTTAAATTGAGGAGCTCCACCAAACGCTTCCACCATGGTTACCATTATTGCATTTGGCACATCAGCGTCAGTGTTTAGCATCACAGCAACCACAAGTTATTTCTCGACAGCAATGCACAGACCAGTGCTATACCACTTAGAAGAATGACAAAAAACAATTTTAAACAGGCTTGAGGGCCAAAGATTAAAATCACCCATCTTGGGCTTGGTAGCATAACTTTCTATCCACTTGGACAATATAGCTCTCTCAGTGTTGTTGTTGTTAAGTGCTGTTGAGTCATAGATGACTCATAGTGACCCTATGAATGAAAGACCTGAGCACTGTTCATAGAGTTTCCAGAGGCAAGCAATTTCTCAAGTGGATGCCACCTCTGAAAAATTACCTATGACTATAAAAGGCATAAAAAAAAGAACCTATGAACTGGTATTTTGTTTGTGTTTTATTGACAATGCAAAGACACTTGACTATATGGATTATAAAATATTATAAATAACATTGAGAATGGGAATCCTGGAACACTTAATTGTGCTCATGTGAAACCTATATATAGACCAAGAAAGAGAACAAGGGAATACCACATAGTTTAAAATCTTGAAAGGTATGTGTCAGCGTTGTAT